AAAATTGGATTTAATGTTTGGTCTGTTTTTCATATCAAAATGTGCTCGTATGAACTTACACTCTTCGTGAAAGTTATAGATCTGTCTTTTACCTTTCAAGTGAGATAAAGTTTATGTTGATATCTGCTCTGTGGCTCGAGTTATGATTTTACGAAGTTAGATATACATGAGTTAAGAATTATTATGTTGGCATAGATATGGAATCGAATGTTAACCGATTTTTGACCATTCAAATGAGCTCATATGTTTCTATGTTCTAAATGAAATTTGTAGAGCATTCCTAAGGTTTAATTTGCGACTTTAACCATATCATTTAGAGGTCTGTAACTCCAGATAAAGGTTAAAAACTGAGATACTGTCCATGTTCATTATACTAGTTTTGACAGATTTACTGAATCATGTGTTTTTCGTTTCAACTCATTGAATATGTGATTATTTGCCAATGTGATCTTCGGAAAAGTTGTAGATATTTGAGTTGCCTATCATGTAGGTTTTGAAATTCATTAATAGCATGCCTGTAGCTCAAGTTATATGGCAAAAACTGAAGTCAGGTCAAGTATATTCTTCCCAGTTTTGGACTGTGACTCAAATTTTAATGTTTGTTGATTTATCACCTATTAAATGACCTTATTTGCTTTCCGTGTCTTCATAAGAGTTGTAGTTTCATGTCTTAGGATTCCAATGCAACTTGATTCATGTTCATATGAGTTATATGCTGAGAGTTATGTCGATTTTAAAAACGCTGCCCGGGTCAAGTTTTCTAAACTTATGTGATATTTTCAAAAATGTGTTTTCTTTTGCTTTGATGCGTGTTTAAATGATTATATGAACTTTTTTGGGCTTAGCAATCATAGAATAGTCTTTGATAAGACTATTTTAATAAATGTAGGTGTTTGACGAGTCGAACTCGCCGCCTACCCTTCTTTGTGTTTATTCCGGTCGCTACCAGGTGGGTTCATTTATGTTGAATCTACATTTATCGCACTTGTTATTGCGTATAAATGTTTGTCGGGATAGTTTTTGTATGCGTGAGAACCCTAGTCTAAGTATCCCAATGGTAGTGTCTTTGACAAATGCATAATTAGTGGAAGTCACCTGCCCGTTGCATCCGGGAGGTGGGCGCCCGAATCCGTGTAGAGCGGAGGGGCAATTCAACTTCACTGTCTCTTGGTAAGATCCTACGCCCGTTGCATCCGGGGTGGGAGTGCTTCCAATTACATCCTCGCCGATGTCTGGTCGGGAGGTTTGTTGTATGTACATAGGAGGTTTGCGATAGGGCCTAATAGGGAGTTAGATCTGGATTCTATGCATACATTATTTATGGTTATAGATCTTTATGCGAAATATACTGTGCGGTAAAGGTGAGTATGATGGTTGTACTCACCCCCATTTACTTTTCTGTCCTCTTGTTGCTCTTCCTATCTTTTAGGTTAAGCATGGTTGGCGGCGGCAGCGAGAGACGATCGAGTGGTGGTCGTTGGATTATGTGTTGCTTGCTTCCGTTTTTCTTTCTATTATTTTGATAGACCATTTGTTTAACTTTGAATATTTATGCTTCCACTTTATTTATTTCGAACATGTTGAATATTTGTTTATGCATGACTGGTTTGAAGTTTATGGATAACTTGGGATTTTGTTTTGAGCTGTTGGATTGTATCTGTGTAAATGTTTATTTGTTTTAGTTGTTTAAGTAGCGCCCGACCCTTCTCGTTGTGGCCAAGTGGTCGTCATGTCTGCGTGCGACCTCCATGGCCTCTCGCATCGTCGCGGGCTTCACTAAACGAACCTCTGCAGCCAGCTCGAACTTCAGTCCCCCTACGAATGCCCCGACAAGTGCTCCCTCGGGCCATCCGCATACGCGACATGCGATACGCTCGAACTCCCGCTTGTAATCACGCAAACTCCCTGTTTGTTTGATATGAGCGAGCGCCTCGTCATAGTTATGGTAGTTCGATGCGCCAAACCTTGTGATGAGCTCCTTCTCAAAATTTTCCCACCAGATTTGCACATCGCGGTTGTGATAGATACTCGTAAGCCACTGCCACCAAACATTGGCCTCCCCATCCAGGTAATAGGCCGCATACCTTACCCACTCGGCTCGAGCAATCTCATTGAGATTAAAATATTGCACGGCTAGATTGAGCCACGCGTTAGGATCGGCTCCGTTGAACGTCGATAGCACAATCTTCGGCTTCTCGACCCTAGGTCGCCCTACGTTGGTCGAGGCATAAGATCGACGATCGAAGTCGTCCTCTCTCTCCTCGTACTCCGGCCGCTCGCGTTCGTACTCCCGTGAACGTGCCTTGGTCGACCTCGTGGCGGTGGTTGCCGAACGAAGCGTAGGACCTCGTCGATCCTTTGGTTCATGGCGTCCATCATGGCTTGTTGTGAATTTTGGAACGTCCTCTCGAGGTGCGTGAGGTTGTCCGTCATTGTCCGTCATCGCGTGTTCCGACTCGTGACCTAGCTTCGCACGTTGCATGAATTCGATCTTCGGCGAGGGTTGTGGACGACTCGGAGGTTGAACTCCTTATCTTCTCGCGATAGGTGAGACAGCTCAGACGGATGTCCTTGCCAAACTCGTCTTGCTCGAGCTATGCGGTGGACACCCTTCTCGTAACAAGGGTTTTGCACTAAATCTCAAAAGAATTCTAACACAAGAATTTGAACACAAAGTTCGGGTTCTTCATTAATTCAAGACATGACATTTTCGAGTGACAATGGGGCATATTTATAGATGCCAAACTAAGTCTAATCCTAGTCTAAGAAGAACTCCTAATGCATGGAAATAAAGTCCTAAGGAAACTAAATATCTAATGAATAAAGACTTACCAAAACTACTAAGATACTATTAGGCACATGCCTTTTATTCCAAATCCTAATCATACTAATATTCCTAATCATGCTAATAAAATCGGCCCTTGGCCATCTAGAAACTTCATGCATCTTGCGCCGCACGCCTCGCCCAAACCCTAGCCGCAACGGCTAGTCCTTGTCCTCCGAGGTCATGGGCTTCATCATGCCCCCACGCGTCCCAAGCGTCTTCTGCCTTGCTCCCCAAGTCGCGATGTTTATCCTTAGGCGATGCGATACTCCTAGTCTTTCGAGGACTCATGCTTGCCAGCCCTTGCACGTCGCGCCTCCTGCGCCTGCCAGCTGTCTCTCGCGCGTTGTTGCACCCGCCCGCGTGTCTGTACGCGTTGCGCCCGGATGCGGTCTTTTCGCAAGCGCCTTCCTCGCGCGCCATTGGTCGTCACGCGCGTAGCCCGCACGTTGGTCCCCACTGCTCCTCCTTGGCCAGTCGTGGTGCGTGCTAACCACCCAACATCCTTCGCTCGTGCACCACCCGGTTCCTCCGCCGCGTACACGCCATCCGCATGCCCGCGCTTTCGCCTCTTGTGAGCCTCCTTTGCATGGCCCCGACAGTCGTCTTGACCTTTTTCGCGCCACTTCTCGTGACTCGAGCGCGTCTCATCCTCGAGCTCGGATGGGTCGATGACCACATCCTTATCAGCGGGGCTACTCGCGTCGCTGCAAGGGTTCCCGCTCGTGCACTGTGCGGCCCGTTTCGCGTCCCTCGCACACGGATGCGGTCAGGGAGTGCCGGGTCGCCAACGTCAAGGGGCTCTAGCTCGTCCGGTGTGGGCACGCGGGCGATTATACAAGTGGCAGGATGTTGCAGGCGTAGGCGGGCTGCGAACTACTTTCGGGTGGTGCATCCTCGGGCACACAGCACGCGGCTTGCGCGCGACCGCTGCGGGGCTACTTTTATCACTACAGGGGCTCCCGCTTGTCCACTGTGCGGTCTGCCTCCTGCCCGTTTCGCATTTCTCGCACACGGATGCAGCCTGGGACTGCCTGGTCGCCAACGTCAAGGCTCGGTTCAAGGGGTTTGGCTCAGGGTTTAAACACGAAATTTTAACAGCTTGAAAGGCATCATAACATGGTCTTGGGTACAAATTTTGAGGCTAAAAAACTATCCCAATAATTTTATAAAAAAACGAAGGAAAAGGCATAAAAGCATCAAATAATTTAAAAAAAAAATCCCCAATAGATCAAAGTAGCAACCAAGGCATCAAGGTTTCAGATTTGGCATCAAATGAGTTCTAATATTTCCACATAAATCACCAACACTCCACAAAAATTCAAGATAATGACATATTAGATCAAAGGATCTTAAATTTAAACTTAGATCTAGATCATGACATATTAGATCTAAAGAAATACATCATGAACGCTTAAAATAAGGAAGCTCAAGCAATATACCAAGCTTCAAGGAACCTACAAGAAAAAGGGTGGTTGGACAGGATGCAAGGGTTGGCGCGCGCTTCTCACAGCGGTCCTGGTGGCCTCGGTGGCTTGCGCACGGCTCAACGATGCCTAGCAAGCGGACAGGGGCTCGCGTGGCTGAGGCATGAAGGCTGGCTTATATTCAGACCTGGACGGAGTTCCCGACGGCCGGCGTTCAGTGAGGCTTGGAGCGATCAACGAGGGCTGTTCACTGCGGATGACCCGCGTGCGGTGGCGCGGCCTGGGCAGCGGTGCGAGTGGGAGGCTGCATGTGCGGTCGCCGGCGGTAAGGGAAAAGGCCGAGAGAATTTGGGCGATTTTTGGAGGATGTACAAGGAAATTTTCTCTGAGAAATTTGGCTGCGAGGAGGGGTTTTGCGCTCTGAATAAGCTAAGGAAAAACGTGAAGAAAGATATAGGAGAGGAAGAGATTTGATCTCCAAATTAATGAGGAAAATCATTAGAGGATCAAGGGGAGTCAACATCCTTAAAATAAGGACTTGAGCTCACTATGGCCGGTTATGAGGCTCTTTAGAGCTCACTAAAACATCCCAAAATTCACTAGGAGAATTTAGAAAACAGGTTGCTTGTGGAAATTTTCTCTTTCTAAATCTCGTCTTGAGAAGATTACGAGAGTAGTTAGGGATCTGCTAGTTTGGCAGTTTATTCGCCAATTCGATTTTTCGAGTGTGGCGTAGGGGTTATTCAGCCATGGATCCGATCGATATAGCAAGATTGGTTGAGGAGATGAAGAAAGCTAAGGTAGCGGAGAAAGACAAAGTGGTGATTGAGAGTGAAGTGATAAATCGAGAAGTCGATCGAATGAGCAGGTGCCTGTTGGTTAAAGTATTCTCATCCAAGCCGATTAATCGAGAGGTCTTCAAACAACAAATGCCGATGATTCTTAACCTCTCAAAAGGAGTAGATATCGAATCGGTGGGGGAAAACTTATTTATCATGGAATTTCGATCTCTTCAGGATAGACGAAGAACTCTTACGGAAGGTCCATGGAATCTATTTCAGAATCTGGTTTTGTTTAAGGAAATTCGAGGTTTACAGAATCCTCGAGAGGTCTTCTTTGATTCAATTAGCATTTGGGTTCAGCTTCATAATCTTCCCATTGCGTTGATGAATAAGAGGGCGATTCAATCAATTGCCTCTAAGACTGGTGATGTAATTGAAATTGACGAAGGTGAATGAGGTAATTTCTGGGGACGATTTGCACGCGTGAGGGTATCTTTAACGTTATCTAAACCACTGAAAAAATGTGTCAGTGTTCGAGTGGAAAATCAAGCAGATGAAGTCATTATCCTTCTGGTGTATGAACGACTTCCATATTTTTGCTATCTTTGTGGGTGTATAGGGCATGTTCTGAAGGAGTGTGAGTCCCCAGAAGGAGACCGAGAAAATCTTCCGTTTGGACCGTGGCTGAAAGCGGCAACCCACTTAACTGGGAAGAAGAATCGAAACGAAGGAAGAGCTTCACCCAGGAGTTCCCCAACCGGTTCTTCATCTTCGAATCACAGCCCGGGACAGTCAAGGGATTTCTTCAACAAAGATTTCCAAAGCCCGGCGAAAGAACTTCATTCCCCGATTGGTATAGATAGTGAAAAGCGATACAAAGTTAATAATGGAATTTTTGAGCCTTGTAATATATCTCATGTCTTATTCCCAAATGATAAATGTCTAGAGGTATCTAACCTGGTTCTACTTCCTCAAATACTGTCTACAGATGGCAGAGCATTAGAGAAAATTCAATCCTCAGCGAAGAAGCTTCAGGAGGACGATCGGTCAAGAACCTCACATTCCTTAGAACGGCAACCAAAGAAATGGAGACGTATAGATAGAAGGGGTAGTCCGACTAATTCAACAAGTGTTTCAACTTCTCCATTACTGGACTCAAATAAAAGAAAGTCGGAAGATATCCTCTTCGATGAGATAGCGGAGCCTAAAGTTCAAAAAAGTAGTGATACTGTATCCTCTCATACTATGGTCCCAGAAGCGGCGGTGGTTGCTTTGCAACCCCGCCGAGAATAATGAACTGCATATGCTGGAACGCACGGGGTTTGGGGAACCCTCGTGCGTTCGGGAATCTCCGGCGCTTAGTCGAGGAGAAGAAACCTACCTTATTGTTTCTCTGCGAGACGAAAGTGGCGGAGGAAAAAAGTGCGAACTGGCGTCACTCCCTACAGTTTCCAGGTTGTTTTGTAGTTAGTTGTCGTGGTAAGAGTTGAGTGTTAGCAATCCTTTGGAAAGATAATTTCCATGTTTCTATTAAATCTTTCTCGTCAGGACATATTGATTGTGTGATTGTGGATAATAATCGGTGTTGGAGATTTACCGGTTCTTATGGGAATCCATTGACAGCCAATAGAAAATTTTCCTGGGATTTATTACGTAAACTGAAACAAGATGATGCTCTTTCTCATCTCCCCTGGCTTGTTGGCGGAGATTTTAATGAAATTTGTTTTCTTAGCGAAAAGAGTGGTGGTCGACCTCGAGCTTCAGCTCAAATGGATGCTTTCCGTGAAGTGCTTGAAGATTGCGAGCTTCGGACCATTTTCAGTGAAGGTGATCCTTTTACTTGGATTAATCGTAGAAATGCAGAAAATATTATCTTTGAAAAATTGGATAAATCTGTTGGATCCTCTTCGTGGTGTAACCTATATCCAGCAGCTACAGCTCGTTCTTTCGAATTCTTCGGATCAGACCACAGGCCAATTCAAATATCATTAGGACAACAAGTAGCTTAAATTCCAAGTGGTAGTACTTTCTTTCGGTTCGAATCTTGTTGGTTAAGTGAAGAGAATTTTGAAAGTGTTGTGGAAGAAGGATGGAGAATGGCAAATAGTTCTTCTCCCATTACTAAAAAACTGGAGACTTGCAGTATTTTTATCAAGGCATGGGCGGGATCTCAATTTCGCGCTCTCTAAAAATATTAAGGAACGTAGATCTGAGCTTAATCATTTGAAGGTATCAAACAAATGGGAAGCTAACTTTGAGCGTATTCAAGAGTTAGAGGAGCAAATAGATAAACTCTTTCTCCAAGAAGAAACTTTTTGGCGGCAAAGAAGTAGAATATCGTGGCTTCAGCACGGCGATAAAAGCTTAAAATTTTTTCACGCTCAAGCATCTTTCCGTAAATCGAAGAATAGTATTAAAGGGCTTCTTAACTCTCAAGGTGATTTCTACACTAAAACAGAGGGAATGATGGAAATAGTGATCGATTATTTTTCGTCGATTTTTCAGTTGAGCAATCCAACAGAGGAAAATATAAGGGCAATTTGTGCTGGTATTAAACCGAAAGTTGATGAAAGTGCGAATCGTTTCTTATGCAGCCCTTTCTCTACGGATGAAGTTAAAAAGGCAGCCTTTGATTTGGATCCCGAACAAGCTCCTGTCAAGGATGGTTTTCCTGGTACTTTCTATCAACGGTTTTGGCATATTGTCGGTCACGATGTTTGTGTTGCAGTGCTGAACGTTCTTAATGAGGGAGCAGATATTTCAGAATGGTATGAAACCATTATTACGTTGGTCCCCAAAACAGAACATCCACTTTCAATAACATGATATAGACCGATTAGTCTTTCTAATTTTCTTTATAAAATTGTCGCTAGAACTTTGGCTAATCGGCTTCGATGTATAGTACATTATGTTATTCATGAATTTCAAAGTGCTTTTGTTCCAGGGAGATTGATTACTGATAATATCATTTTGGGCTTTGAAGTAATGCATTGAATACGTAATCATCGTCAAAGTAAACGGGGGTATGCTGCACTGAAGTTAGATATGAGCAAAGCCGACGACCGTGTGGAATGGAATTTCTTAGAAGCAGTCATGGGAAGTCTAGGATTCAGTCATTATTGGGTCCAGAAAATCATGAAGTGTGTCCGGTCAGTTTCTTATTCTTTCATTCTTAAGCAAAATAGGTCCGGGCTTCTAACTCCTAATCGTGGTATTCGTCAAGGAGACCCGTTGTCGCCGTACTTATTTGTGCTGGTCTCCCACGGGTTTCACACTTACTCCTTCAGGCCGAACAAACAAGTCTATACGCGGAATCCAAATTGCAAATAATTGTCCCAGTATCCCTCATCTATTCTTTGCCGACGATAGTTTGATCTTTTTTAGAGCAGACAGTCAAGATGCCAATGCTATTCAAAACTGCTTGTTCACGTACGAGAAAGCTTCTGGACAACTTATTAATTTTCAGAAATCGTCCCTTTCCTTTAGCCCAAATACTTCTCCAGACATGATCGCCTATGTTAAAAATGTTTTCAAAATTCCGATTGTTCAAAGTCATGAGATATATCTGGGTCTCCCCACTTTCTCCATCAAAAGCAAGCGTACTCAATTTGGGTATCTCAAAGAAAAAATTGCACGTCGTATTCAAAGTTGGGATCATAAATTCTTTTCTGAAGGTGGTTGACAAGTACTCTTAAAATCAGTTCTTCAATCTATTACTACGTATGCCATGTCGTGTTTTCGTATTCCTAATTCTCTTTGTGAAGAAATTGAACGTGAATATGCCAACTTCTGGTGGGGTAAGGAAAAAGGGTCGAAGAAGATGCATTGGTGTCGTTGGGAAATGCTATGTAAACCTAAATGTTCTGGAGGCCTGGGATTTTGTAACTTGACAGCCTTTAATAAAGCGTTGTTAGCTAAGCAGGTATGGCGTATTATAAAAAATCCAGGTTCTTTGGTGGCAAGAGTCCTTAAAGCTCGATATTTCAGACATTCAGACGTCATGTCTGCTTCTCTGGGCAACAAACCTACATATTTTTGGGATCGTTGATTTGGAGCAGAGGAATAATTTCTAAGGCTCTTCTTGGAAGATTGGAGATGGACAGGAAGTTGATATATTCCAGGACATCTGGTTACCATCTCGGATTAAATGCTTCTCCTTTGTCCAGGATCATTTTCCTTCAATTTGTAAGGTACGCGACCTTATTAGTGAAGGTACTTGAAACGCGAATCTCATTAATCAACTTTTTCCTCCATTTATTGCTGAAGAGATATTGAACATTAATCTTCCAAGTCCCCTATCGAAGGATGATCGTTTTTGGTGTTCTGATGGCAAAGGACATTATTCAGTTAAAGAGGGCTATAAAGTTGAAACGGGTTTCTACAATTCCCCTGTAAGCCAATCGTCAATTCAAATCAGAAAGTGGTGGAAATTCTTATCGGCGTTGAATATCCCTTTAAAGGTTAAAACATTTTGGTGGTGTTTAGCAAACAATTTTATTCCATCAGGTATAAATCTTGCTAACCATCATGTCCCTTCCAGTGGCTGTAAGCTTTGTAATAATTATCTTGATTCATCTTTGCATTCCATTTTTTTATGTCCTCGGGTGGTGCCACTATGGAAGAATACAATTTTTATATCTCTTGTTAAGAAGGCGCAATTTGTGTATACTTTGGATTTTTGTATTTGGATGCAACAAAGCTTGACAATGCATGAGTTTGAAATATTTTCCTTGACTACTTGGTTAATTTGGAAAGAAAGACAACAGATTGTACATGGTCCTAATCTTTATGACGAGCTCAAGTTAGTTGGTGGAGCTGAAAGTATAGTACATAATTTTCAAATTTCAGCTGGTTCTTCTCGGCATTCTCAGTGCTCAGAAGAGAGTCAACGAAATCTCAAATGGCACCCTCCATCCAGAAACTCAGTGCGTCTCGATGTGGATGCAAGTGTTGATATGAAAGCTGGCAAATTCGGTATAGAGGGAATCACTCGTGATGATCAAGGTAGGGCTCTTTTTTCTTTTGGCAAGCCAGTCAGAAATCCGGGATCAGTTATCCATTGTGAGCTCATGGCAATCAAAGAAGGCTTGGGTAAATGTGGATTGTTGCACCAAACTCCTATATTTGTTTACACAGACTCGTTGTTGGCGGTACAAGCAGTTAACGACTTCAACGAGACACATGGCTATATTCGCTCGTGGGCTAAAGATATTGATGTTCTCATGTCTCAAGCGGCAGAATCTAGACATCTTCGCCATATGCGTCACTCAGCTAATAATGTTGCTCATGAACTTGCAAAATTTGCTTCTTTTTCAAACTCCGCTTTCTTTTGGGAGGTGGATGTTTTCCCGTCTTGGCTTAAGGAACTTATTTGTACTGATTTAGTTTCTAGTTGATTTGTTAATAATAAGTTCTTTTCCAGTCAAAAAAACATATTTTTTGGGTTACAAGCTCTTATNAAAAAAAAGAATGCTCCAAGTCTCCAATACCTTTACTAAGGCCGAAAATTTACTTGAGGTAAAGGCCAAAATATCAACAATAAAGGGCCGGTTTATAGTTCAAATGGGCCGAGAGTTTAAGGTCCGAAAAAGGATTGAGAACGGTCCAAAAATAAAAATTACGTGATTGAAACAAAAATCTCCGAACAAAACTAACTGGCAATTAAAAATAAATAACACAAAATGGACAGAAAAATATACAAACAATGCAATCATATAAAATGAAGGCAAACAAATAAAATAAAAACGAGCACATAATAATAATTAAATGCAAGCCATAATAAAATGAAATGAAAATATGTAATAATATAAATGTAAGCAATAATGTAATGCAAGCAAATAAAATAATAAACACCATAAATCATATAAATCGGAAAGGCACAACAATCTACCATCCTTAAAAGATATTCGTCCTCGAAAACACAAAAGTTAAAAGGGTAAAAACAAGGTACAACCAAATACTAGGGGAAAACTCAAAATATGAAGTTCAGATATTTCCTCAGAATATCGGCGTCGCTCTCCCAAGTCGCCTCGGCCTCGCCATAGCGTCTCCATTGCACTTTGATGAAATCCACCGCCTGGTTCCTCAGTTGATGAACATTCCG